TTTTAATTGGTTAATTAATTATATCAAAATTAATATTTACACTTTTAATGAGAATTAATTGTAAAAAAATGTGTTACGTACACTTTTAACTTATATTTTTAAGGTACATGATAAAAAAAACTCATTTTTATTGGTTTATTTTAAATTAAAAAAATCAAATTATTTTTTTAATTTAAAATTTTATATATTTTTTAAAAAATACCACCATTATTACTCAATTATTATCTCTTACTATATCTTATGAGAATGTAAGATAGATAAACTCTTATAATATTAATTAACAACAAAAATCCTACAACTTATTATGTTCTAGTTTTTATTGACATTCTTTTCACATGGGCATGACAAATGAAATAGATATCTTGTCCACGTCTTTAAAATTAGTTTTTTTTTTTTTCTTAAAAGGTAATGGAACGTATTTAAAATTAGTTGTTAATAACGTCAACCAATCATTCTGTCTTAGCTTTTTAAATCATTAAAATTTTTATAAAATTAATAAATATCAAATCACTTCGATAAACTTACATAGTTAGTTAATTTTTTTTTTAAATATTGGGAGTGAAGATCAAATCTTACGTATTAAACTAACATGAAAAGTTTCTTAAAATTAATTTTTTTTAAAATATTAAGAGTGAGGATCAAATCTCACATCTCAAACATCTCAAACTAACATGAAAAATCTCTTAAAATTAGTTAATAGCTATTAAGCCACAAAGTCGTTCTCTAGTTTCTTTATTTTCTTTATTTTTATTTTTTTGTCTCTCTGGAATTGAAGATTTAATTAAAAGTTAGGTGTTTAGGCTTTCAAGAGTAGGAGTTAGAAGCGAAGTTTGAGAAAAAAAGGGTTAGGAAATGTGATAAATGTGAACGTCCCAGTTTTGTGGAGGCTATGGACCATGTGTGGTGGGCGATTAAAGTAGGGCCGAAGCCAATGAACTTGGACTTCAACACGTCAGGACAGCGCGAGCTTTTTGTATGGTTTCAAAGAATCCTAATAAGATACGAATCCAACGCAACGAACCAACACTCAACCTGTCCAATAACACCTTCCCTGGCTCAGTCCCACGGAAACCGTGGATGCTTTAGTCGAAACTTGCCTCTTCGTATTGGCTAAGGCTGGTCAACGAACCCCTTTCTCCCTCACTTGACTCCTTTTATTAAGGAAATACATAAAAGAAGAAGAAGAAGAAACAGTTGATTTTGCCAAATTGCCCTGTTTTTTTCATTTCTTCTTCTTCTTCTTTTTTTTTTTTTTATCAGCACACTGTTATTCATCCTCTATCTCTCTCTGTCTTTCTTTTTCCTTGATGGGTGGAATTAGAGGCAAAATTATGCCTAGAGAAGTAGAAGATTGAAAAAGGAGGTTGCGGGCTTACATAAAAATGAAAGAACACGAGACAGCTACTTTGAACAAATTTGAGATTGTCGCGTAAGAGATTTGAGAATTTTGTGCGTATGCCTTAAATCCAATCACAATGCAATGCATATAGACATGCACTATCTAGTGATTAATTTTGTCTGGGCAAGGATTGAAGTTAAGGGACCGATTTGGTACCATGACATAAGTTGAGGTACCTTATGAGGTATATATTAACTTATTAAGGCCACTGCATAACTTGGATTGTTTGCTCTACACATTTGTGTTGTCCCGATTATAAAATTGAAAACATAACGCCGAACTTTTCACAATTAAGCATGAGTTAGATCAAACCTCAGTCATTAAGGTACATCAGTCAAGATGTAATGATATTTCGATACATCAATGTTACAAAAATCCGCACCTAAAGCTAAAATTAAGGAGGTTATACAAAATTGAATTGGTCTTATTTTCCATTACCCTTTCTCTTCTATCTGTATGCCTGATCTGCAGCACCAATTTGCATCGTCTCAGGCTGATCAAATGAAGAATACGAGGTCTGTTCCAATGAGTCTGGATAAAACAGACTCCGCAGCTCATTGTACCTCTGAAAATCGAAATTTTGAGTCTTCATTAGTTTCTTCTGCTTGGCGCTAAACCTGCTTTGATAGAACCCTTCAAAAGAAGGTTCTTTGGCCGTTCGGAGAAAGAATGCGTAGCCGGCCATGAAATAAATGGATGTCACGTAGAAACAGATTGGTTCCATGACATCCCATGAGAGTTCCCAGAAGGTAAGCCTCATGAATGCAGCTGTTTGCACCACCAGGTATGCCAGACCACCCCAAAGTTCTCGGCGGACCAGGGTGTCGGCCTTTTCATCAATAGCAGATTTCTGCTTTTCTAGCTGCTCCAGTTCCTTTCTTCTTGGATCACTGGGGTTGGTTGCCCCTGGTAAAGGAATTAGGCCTCCAATGACTTTCGCTACCTGTAACCAGAAAATGAAAAAACACTTCTGGGTAAAATAGGCTCAACCTCATCATCTATTTCATGAATGTTGGGCCTTTTTAATGGCTTTTTCAAATGACTCTGAATACCTTAAAAACCACCATAAACTTCAATTTGAAAAACAAAGGGGTAACTTGAAACCAGGAAAAGCCAGTTAATCCTCAAAACAATAAGTCACCTTAAAAAATGATTTTTGTTGTTGAAAACTAGATGACACAAGTAGTCAAAAGAGAACATGGAATGACGGAATGTAGAAGAGAGAAACAATAAAAAACTTAATTTTTTTAAAAAAGGAAGAGGGATAGATTTGCATAAGTGAAGTTGAAGGCTCTCCATCTTTCCTTGTCAATCATTCAAGATGTAAAATAAATTAGGAAAAATGTTTCAGGTTATCACACGTTATTCCTAAACCTTTTGTTTTCTCCAATCAATGCCTAACAATCCTCTCTGTCATCTAACAACCACTCTCGTACATGGGATTCATCCCTTGCCTGTTCAAATTCCTATTATCAGTATTTTACTTGCCGCCTCTAATCACGTCTTTCCAACTAAGAAAGTTTTCTATCCAACCCAATTGTGATCTCACTCTCCACCCACCAACCTTCTTCTTTAATTATTAAAAAAGAAACAGAAATGGAAAAGATAAATATATTCACATCGTCATGTCCTTTTATCTTTCCAGATTTTGATAATTTTAATAGCTTCTGGCTTAGTTTAATTAATCAGTTTGATTTATGGGTGGGAAAAGGCATGGGTATGTCCCATAACCTTTTACACCCACATAACGTGAAAACTGAAACAATCTTGGTCACTGAAGAAACTGAAGGGCTTTTTTTTTTGGTCCTTCACAAGACAACCATTGCAAACGTGGACCCTTTTCACGTTTTAAACCTCCTGTGGAAGAAAAAACACAAGAAAAAAAATATCCAGAAAAAACCTTATCAGTTTTCGGTAGTCTTGAGAAAGTGAAAAAAAAATTATGGAAATTGAAACCTATGTTTTTGGTGGACCAAATGCACATTCAAATTTGCAATTCAAATCTGTAATCCAGAACTTAGGAATAAAATAAACAGAGATAAATTCAGATACTTTAGGAAATTTAAGGAGGTAAAGCAAAGGAAAATTTATGAACCTGATCAGGCCGCAAAACGACGACGTTTCCAAGGATGATGACCGTCCCGCACTCATCCAGCAATCTCGCAAGCCGCAATCCCTCATCTGGATCCAAACAACCTTCTTTGCAGATAATAACGTATTCCGGATAAGCAATCCAGGTCTTCCCCGTCTCTCTCAGCCTCGTTTTCACAACTTCCAGTTGCGCCACCCTCAGCAGCTTCCTAGCATCATCCACCGTCAGCCCAACCACCTCCGACGACCTATCCTCCGCTGATCTAGGAGGCAGATGTGGGGTAAGCCCGTCCAGCCGGATCCGATCCTTCGCAATCCCCACTCCCCTAAATTTCTCGATCAAATTGTCTCCCACCGGCATCTGCCGAATCTCCGGAGAGAACACAGCCCGTTTGTGGAGAAATCTCCTGAAAATCCCATTTCCATTGTCTCCCGGATCCGGCGCGATAGCCGTGGCCGCTTTTCCCACTTTCTGCTGGATCCGCCCCTGCACTGCAGGCGATGAGGAGACGCGGCACTTGGTTAGGGATTGAGGCGAGGCGATCTTGGAGATGTTGAAGAGCCTCTCAGCAAGGGTTTTCTTCCACGCCATTGCGGAATAATGCAAAGAGTAAGAGAAATCTCTAAATAAAGAAAAAGGAAAAGAACGGTTTCTCTCACTCTCTTATTTTATTTTTTCTGGGCTTTATAATGGCTTCTGAGAACTTCTGCTCTTTCTGCGTTGCCACCGATTTCGAAAAGTTGCTTCAGGGCTCTTTATAGTGTCAGGAATAAATTTAAAAAAATTCGGGAAAAAGTAAATTAAAAAATTTTGAAAATGGAAAGTGGAAACCGTGTAGCCCGAGATTTTAATACGAGATTTTGAATCCGAGATCAAAGGGCAACGTGTAAAACGAGTGTTTACATTATTTCAGTCTTTCAGAATAAGGCGTGCCTTGTATAAGAACAAGGGTTTTTTTTGTTTTTTGTTTTTTTTTAAAAATTATATAAGAACGAGGCATGGTCACATAAAGTAAAGAAAATGCCATCAATATAGCCTACAAGTAATGGTTTTGGAAAAAAATAAGGACAGTATTATAATGATGAAAAACCCAAAATATCACTCCCATAAAAAAATTAAATAATAAGATATTTGTAGTTTTTAGATGCAATAAAAAAGGTTAGAGTAATATTTTTATGTGATATATAAAAAAGTGGCAGATAGGTTACCAACTTGTTTTGCTGAAATTAAAAAGTAAAAAAAAAAAAAGACGAAAAAAAAATTTAGTGGAATATTCGTCCGACGTTGTCCGAATTATTCCCGGAGGTTGGGGGAAAGTGAAAGTCACATTAAATTTATCGGGCGGGGGCGAAAAATCAAACAAATGAAATTCACGAGAGGAAAGGAAACATCTCGTCTCACGGAGTTGACACAGCAACCATACACGTGGATGGCTAAGCTTGGA